AATATGGACGCCGGAGATGGCACAGATTTCAACATCCACGAGGCTCCGGTGATCTTCGAAAGAAGCAGTTACAAGGTGAGGTCCCCGCATCTCAGAAGAAATGAGCATTTCAAGTAGCAACCAAAGTCCTGCTGCATTGGTTACACACACTGGCCAGTAAACTGATCAAAATCTTTCATTTTGGCCCCAATCATTTAAATATATTTGCTGAAAGAAGAATACAACTCTAGAAAGAAACTTTTTTCTGTTCCAACCGCTATCCATTTTACAAGTGTAAACAATTAAATGAATTATCCATTAGAGAGCATGACATAATGAAATTTGATGTGCTTGCTTCTTTGACTTGTATACATTTAGGTTAAATTGACTCGTACTTAAGAAATGAATTTCTCTTTAAAATAATAATTAGAGTAACGTAATCTCTAAAATGTGAATATATTAATGAAAAAACATCTAATAAAAACACATTTTAAAATAGCACTTGCTACATTTCTCGACTAAACAGATTGATATCTATAATATGTTAAGAGGAACTTCTTTTGTGTTCATTTATTAGGTTAAAGATAAAATTCCTTGTTTTGATGCAAATAGGATACATAACCACCTTCAATTCTCACTAATTAACTGTTAGGGCATAAATGATGAAAACATTATCCACGAACAAATGGTTAGAATGTTTAAAACAAAATCCAATTGTATCATTTAGAATTCATTTTCACTGATTATTACAATTTAGTTTTAAGTCAATTCAAATAGGCTCGAAGAAGAGGATGAGCTACTAACCAATAGGGCCGAGGAAGAAACGAGGCAAAAAGGGTGTTGACAATTCGTCCGATAAAAAGTCCCGTGATTGATTGATTGATTGATTGTGTGTTAATCAACTACTAGTTGCCAGTGGGGTGCCCCATCACAACGACAGCGAAATAACGCGTTTGGCGTAATTGCATTACAATAGCAGCCTCTCTTTTCTTGTACAATTTGTGTATGTATCTATTACAGTCAAAGCCACCAATTTTGACTCAACACAAAAATATATATATATATCTTTTTAATTTCATTTTCCACGGTCAAAGCTATTTTGAGGTTCTTGGAAGTTTCTTTAAATATCTATTTATCAAATTAGAATAGAAAATAGAAAAAAACAATTAACTTGAATTCTGATGCAGTGGTAAAATTGTTTCACCTGTAAGTTCGAGCCTAGATATAGAGAAAATCTTATTGAAAACGTCAATTCTTAAATGAATCTTGTTATGTGCGATTTAAATTTAGTCTGAATATCAATGTAGATTTCGAATATCGAGTGAGAAATGAGAAGATAGAAAAAAACAAGTTCCTTGTAGAATACGTGTTCATTTTTGTTTTTAATATCCCACCCACTCCAACGAAAGGAAGTCAAAACCATTATATAATCCAATTCCCATTGCTCTATTCTATCTTCTTTCTTCTAATGGCTGCTTCAAGTTTCTCTTTTCCCACTTCATCTTCTTCATTCATGACGACTTCTTTCACCGACCTTCTTGCTTCTGATGATTATCCTACCAAAGGACTTGGTGATAGAATTGCAGAGAGGACTGGTTCTGGAGTTCCTAAATTCAAGTCTCTTCCACCTCCTTCACTCCCTTTATCTCCTCCTCCTTTTTCCCCTTCCTCTTACTTTGCTATTCCTCCTGGTTTAAGTCCAACTGAACTTTTAGACTCCCCTGTTCTTTTGTCTTCTTCAAACGTATGTAGTACACCCCTCTCTCTCTCTTCTATTTTACTCTGTTTTCATTGGATTCAAGATTATTGATGGTTTTTTTTTTTTGAAATTGTAATTGCAGCTTCTTCCATCTCCGACAACGGGGAGTTTTCCATCTCATGCTTTTAATTGGAAGAGCAGTAGCCATCAGGATGTGAAACAGGAAGACAAAAACTACTCAGATTTTTCTTTCCAGCCTCAAGTAGGGACAACTGCATCAATCTCTCAATCCCAAACTAACCATGTCCCTTTGGTACTCCCTCGTCTCAAATTATCTGTCGTTTTTTGTTTTTTTTTTTTTTTTTTTTTTTTTTTTGCTTTACTTGAGGGTTTTTGACTACTTAACCTTGTTTATATCAAGCTATAATCTCTGTTTACTCAATTTATGTGTTTGTGCAATTGTTAAAGTCATGATCTTGTCATTGTATCGACGAAAATGAGTAGAAAATCTTAATTGACAATTAGGAATAAAGTAAATTGACAACTTCAAGAGGTGATAACACACATAATCATTTGAGACAGATATATTTAGAAAATACTAGAGATAATTTGAGACGGAGGAAGTATGTTCTGTGTGTTCAAGTCAATTGACTGACACTCTATTTTCTTCTTGTGTAAAATTGATCAGGGGCAGCAAGCATGGAATTATCAAGAGCCCACAAAACAGAATGATCAAAATGCTAATGGAAGATCTGAATTCAACACTATACAGAGTTTTATGCAGAATAATAATGATCAGAACAATAGTGGAAACCAATACAATCAGAGTATAAGGGAGCAGAAAAGGTCAGATGACGGATACAATTGGAGGAAATATGGGCAGAAACAAGTAAAAGGTAGTGAAAATCCAAGAAGCTACTACAAGTGTACATACCCAAATTGTCCCACCAAGAAGAAGGTTGAGAGATCTTTAGATGGTCAAATTACTGAAATTGTGTACAAGGGTAATCACAACCATCCAAAGCCTCAGTCAACCAGAAGATCGTCGTCATCCACAGCTTCATCTGCAATCCAATCTTACAATACACAAACTAATGAAATCCCAGATCATCAATCCTATGGTTCAAATGGACAAATGGATTCGGTTGCAACGCCTGAGAATTCTTCTATTTCATTTGGGGATGATGATCATGAGCACACTTCTCAAAAGAGTAGTAGGTCAAGAGGAGATGATCTTGATGAAGAGGAACCAGACTCAAAAAGATGGTAAGTGAAACAATAATATTCTTTCTATAACATCATTGTTATCGTTTGTTCCGATATTTTTTGATTGCTATAGTAAAATGTTTGTTATAAAGAACATATAATATAACATAACATGAATGATCTCTTCCACATGAAATGAAACATCATTGTTATAGTGAAATGTTGTTATAGAGAGGTCTGTACTGTAGTAATCTTGAATCCAATTTTTGACTAATGTTAACATTTTTAACTTTGTTGAATTTCTTGTTTTCAGGAAAAGAGAAAACGAAAGTGAAGGTCTATCTGCACTAGGAGGGAGTAGGACAGTTAGAGAACCTAGAGTTGTAGTTCAAACTACAAGTGATATCGATATCCTAGATGATGGTTATAGATGGAGAAAGTATGGTCAAAAAGTAGTGAAAGGAAATCCTAATCCCAGGTAAATAACCTTATCTTTGATCATAAATTTGTCTCAAATTTTTTAACAAGTTTGGAAGTTCCTTAATTTGGAAATCGAAAATGAATCTTGGGGTACTATGTAACAGGAGCTACTACAAATGCACAAGTACGGGATGTCCAGTAAGAAAACATGTGGAAAGGGCATCACAAGACATAAGGTCAGTGATAACAACCTATGAAGGGAAGCACAACCATGATGTTCCAGCAGCAAGGGGCAGTGGCAACCACTCAATTAACCGACCTATGGCACCGACCATAAGGCCTACTGTGACATCTCATCAATCCAACTATCAAGTTCCATTGCAAAGTATAAGGCCACAACAGTCTGAAATGGGAGCACCCTTTACGCTTGAGATGTTGCAGAGGCCTAATAATTATGGTATCTCAGGATATGAAAATTCAGGGGATTCATACGAAAACCAAGTTCAGGACAACAATGTGTTTTCGAGAACTAAGGACGAGCCTCGAGATGACATGTTTATGGAGTCATTGCTTTGCTGAAACTGGAATCCTAGAATGGAGCACGAATTGAAGTTTATGAAACGAATAACTGAACCTTTTGTTTTTTTTTGCATAAAGAATATGATAGGAAGTATTTTGATTTCATTTGTTAATAGATCATATACTGTTTATTTTTTTGTGTGTACATTTTGTACTAGGAAATTTGTTTGTTGTAAATTCAATCAAATGTGGTGTAGAAGTTCATGCAGTTACCACTGTTATGGGGGTTTATTCTTTAATATAGGAATGTAAATCCCCAACTCATGACTATATGACACTGATTCTTTATTTCTATCAGATTTTCATGTTTTATATATTAAAGAAGATTGCAGTTTTTCAAGATACTGGTAAATTGAGAACAATGTCTTCCTAGCAGTTTTCTTTCATTCAAATTTGTATTTAATCGTAGTGAGAAGTACTCTACTTCTTTTTTACGCAAAATCGTATAATGCTTAGTTGTTATAGGTTCATTCCACGTTTGATTAGATGACGAAATATGAGACAGCTAAGACTTAGTTAGATTCAACCCCTCTGGTACATGTGTATTTGGTTCTCTGCCACTTTTTGCTGATTTAATGTTTGATTGGTTTGACATTGTACAGTGACAGATTGTTTCATCAACTCGATTGGGAAGATGTTAGTCTTACAACTGTTGGAACCTAGTATTCTAGATGTTAACAAAGCAGATTACAAGTTTTAGGCAGCAGGATTTAAATTCTAGAACTTCAATTTTACCATGTTCATTAACCTCCTCTTTTCCATCTCACAAAAATATAGGATCTTTTCTTGCATGCATATTTTCTAACAGTTAGAAATTTTTCAATACGAATTCAAATGTCTAAATTCAATAAACTTTCACCGATGACCTGTTTAGTCAGTTTTTTTTTAAAAAAAAAAAAAGTCTATCATTTTTACAATTCTTTAAATCCTAACTTTTCACTTTACATGTTTTAAAATCACAAAATTATCATTTGATACATTCACGTATATTCAGTGATTCAAAAAGTTTTCATCATAACAAATTAAAACAGAGGAAGTAATATATAAGAAATATGCTAGTGATGTTGTTGGCTACCATTGAGGCGCCAAAGGCTTAGATGGAAGAAAAATCAAAGCTATGGTTACAAATCTCTACCGCGTACTGAGACAAGCTGCCGTTAATAGTGAATCGTCATGGATATTGCTAAGAACCTTCAATTCATGGTCTTTTGCTATTAAAAATGCAAAATCACCTCAACGAGCCTTGACACTCTATGCCCAGATGCAGCGCCAAGCCATTCCTTTCGACAGTTTCGCCATTCTTTTCACTCTTAAATCTTGCACCCATTTGGGCAACCTTCCCCTCATATGCCACCTCCATGCCCATCTTCTCAAATTAGGCTTTAATATACACGTCTATGTTGCCACATCTCTCTTAAATGCCTACATAGGGACTTCGTTTCAGTATGCTTGCAAGCTGTTCGATGAAATTCCTGTGAGAAATACTGTCACGTGGAACACGATGATAACTTGTTTTTCTCGATCTGGGGATGTTAAAAAAGCAAGGGAAATGTTTGATGAAATGCCTATGAGAGACCTAGCTTCGTGGTCGGCGATGATTGCTGGATACATGAATAATGGGCAGTGGGAGGAAGGGGTGACGCTCTTCCGGGAAATGGTGATTTTTGAGCAGCTAAAGCCTGATCAAGTGACTATTGGGCCAATATTGGCGGGGTGTTCGGAGATGGGTTCAATTGGGTTGTTTCTTGGGAAATCAGTGCATGGTTTTGCGGTAAAGAATAACTGGGAATTGAATGTGGAGCTTGGTACTTGTTTAGTAGACATGTATGCTAAATGTGGATTCTTGAATTTTGCTTCTCTGGTTTTTGATATGATGAAAGATAGAAATGTGGTAACTTGGACTGCTTTAATTTGTGGAGCAGCAAAACATGGTTTCGGAACTGAAGCGTTGGAGATATTCAAGAAAATGAGACAAGGGGGTGTGGTACCAAATGAGTTTACTTTCACTGGGGTACTTAGTGCTTGTGTACAAACAGGGCTGGTCGATGAAGGTCGTGGATACTTCAAAATGATCAAAGAGTGTGGACTGAGACCAACAATTCAGCATTATGGCTGCATGGTTGATTTATTTGGGAAAGCTGGATTGTTAAGGGAAGCATATGAAGTGATCAATACAATGCCACGAGAGCCTAACGTAGTTATTTGGGGTTCTTTTTTGTCATCTTGCAAGTTGCATAAACAGTTTGAGATGGCGGAAAGAGTGATTGAGAGGGTCATGAATGTGGTGAGGCCAGAGAATGATGGAGGGGTTTATACCCTTATCTCAGACTTGTATGTTCTTGGTGATAAATGGGAGGATGCCGAGAGGGTGAGGCAATTGATGCTCCATCAAAATGTGAGGAAAGCTAGAGGATGTAGTTTCATAAGAAATAATACAACATGAAGTATTAAACTGCAGCAGATTCTTGTTTTGACAATGATCTTGTCAAGAAAAAAACTATTTCTGCTTTCTGTTGTTGAAATTACTTTCACCATCAGTAGGATTAAGAAGGCGAAAGATTTTTAAGTTAAGAAAAGGAAAGATGCAACTTGTAAGAAGAAACTTATACTGGAATAACATGGTTGTTATATGAAAGAAATTCTGTTTATGACAGATTCTCAGTTCTAGATTTAGGGTGCTGGCATTAAAGCTTCTGCACCTGAAATGTATGGAGATACTGTTTCTTTGTGTTTATAGTGTTGGAGACCCTTCTATTGTTGTTTTAATCAATCATAGTTTTTTAGTTTGAATGATTGAAAAATATTTCTTATTTTATTTTCTAAATGACACAATTCCGAAATTTTTACACTAGAATATGTGCATTGATCATGTTTTCATCTTTTATGCCTGAACAGTGAATTAGTGATAGTTAAGGTGACAGACAGGGACTTGAAAATCTATGTATCTTTTGTGCCTCAAAACCCATGATTTGTGGTTTCATCCATCAAGGACTTCCATCTTTAACCTAATATGAACCTATGATATTCCTCTTCACATATTGCAAATGCAGACATACATTTTGATATCAATCTGGTGAGTCGAGAAGATGGTGTTTAGGTTCTAACAAGAGAAGGTGATCTTCAATCAACATCTCCCGCAATTTGAAGTTTATCTGTAACATCTCAGGTTTATTAGGTATATAAGTGCATAAAAAGACCAACAAACTCCTACAATCAGCATTTGAACACACACCCAAAAAAAAAAAAAAAGAGATAATAATGAAAAAGAGCCAATAATCCAAATAAGATTTCACAATCATAATGTCAACAATAGAAATCATTATAAAAATGAAACTTTATTAAGGGAGTCCAAAATTCAATATATGAAAAATAAATTTATATAATTTTCTATATACATAATATATATTTTTGATAAAGGATATTTCACTAACCACCCTTCATTATTTGGACTACGCCATCGTATCAATGTACTTGTGAGAGAATATTACGAGATTCGTTCCATAGTTAATGACGATTATCAACTTTCCACTAGACAACCTGACAGCACAAAGACAAGAATTTGCCATTAACCCGACAAAAACATAATAAATAGCCTTCACAATGACGATGAATCTAAAGAAACAACCAAACTACAAATGCTAAACAACAAATGTAATCATTTGTCTCAAGTGTAAGAAGACAAATTTGTAGCTTGGATTATCAAAGAAAACAAAAGACTAGCTATAGCTAGAATGTGTTTGAAAGGATTTCGATATCTAAAAGACAAAGGCCAGGTGATCTATTTTGACTTCTTTTGTATTTTTATTTTACTATTTGTCTGCAAATATGAGATCCTTAATTTGTTCTAAATGAGAATTATTGAACATTGGAACCAGACATCAGACATAGTTAATTAGTGGCACACGTGAAAAAGGTCATGATTTCTAAGAGTATACTTATGCGGGTAATATGACTTAACCCATAGGGTCTAAAGGATGATATAGTATAATGATCAAGCCTTTTCTTTATAAGAGCATTTCGCTATAATAATAAAAAGTATGTGAATAAAGGACATCGTTATAAAGATGGTAGATGGTATATAACTAAAATTTCATTTTAACTGCTAATTTGAGATTTAAATAAATCAACTTGAAACGTCATGTAAATATTATCAATATAGATAAATAAAGGGTACATTACTAAAATAAATCACCTTTTTCCACTAGAAAATGTGTAGTGGCTATTTCCACAGATATTTTGATTGAATCTTCATATGGAAAAATTTGAAAGTTCCCCACTATTTCTGTGAGAATCTATTTTCCACCATGCATTTTCTCAATGATCTGATTAGGTAGGAAATGAATCGGAAAATCATGTTCTATAACACAATTTTTTCACTCATTTGCGGTGGGAAAAACCTTTGTTTCTAGTAGTTATGGGAGGGGAAAAATTAAGTAGCTGGGCTGGAAGTGTTACATAAAACCTTGAAAATATCGAACAATATTTTTGTTTTTTTTCTTGTATTCGTTTGAAGTCAAGAATTAAGTCATGTGAAATCTATAATTAATATAGAGGAGCATTAATTTGGCTAATGGACACTCAAGATGACATGAAATCATCGTTTATTTTTGTCTTAAATCAAATTATTAGCTTGTTGACAGTATAAAACTAAAACAAAGCAAAATGCCAAAGACTCAATACATTATATATACTGAATACTTCAGCATCCATTTGTGTGTGGCAAATTAAGCATCAAGCAAAGATAAAAGACACAGCTTTTATTGGTTCATATTTAGCTGGAAATTGAAACAAACAATGGATTTGAACAAAGATTCATATTTAGTTAAATCTGAGATGTCAAGCCCTGGAAAAAGAAGCATGTCCATGGTGGATTATGACATTCCAGAGACAACGAAACGCGTGAAAAGACGAAGAAGGTCACCTCCTGCAGTTGCAGTAGTGACTGATAACATTGGCCAACAAGCTGAGCAGCAGAAAATGGACTCATCTAAAGTTGATCAAAATATTGCTCATACACCTACTGTGAAGAGAAGTTCAAGATTCAGAGGAGTTAGCAGGTAGTACCAACTAAAAATGTTGACACTTTTGTAGTAGTACTTCATTTAAGAGACTAATTCTTGTTAATAATTAATTACATTGAAAATTTAGGCATCGATGGACGGGGCGTTATGAGGCTCATTTGTGGGATAAGGGTTCTTGGAATGTGACTCAGAAAAAGAAGGGAAAACAAGTTTATCTTGGTGAGTGCACTTGGTGGTGCTATAGACCAATATTTGATTCATTCAAGAGGATTGAGTTTTGGATTCTAGAAATTTTACTTTTAAATTAAACAGGAGCATATGATGAGGAAGAATCTGCAGCAAGAGCATATGATTTGGCTGCAATCAAGTACTGGGGCACATCAACTTTCATTAATTTTCCAGTATGATCTTCATCTCAGACTCACAATTCTTCTTTTGTTTGAAATTATTTGTCTGACTCAAATATCTCTACAGATATCTGATTATGAGAAGGAAATTGAAATAATGCAAACTGTGACTAAAGAGGAGTACTTAGCCTCCTTAAGAAGGTATTTACTCAACTTGATTTTCAATCAGATTTAAGAAATCTTTTCACAAACCAAAATTTACCTGAGTTTTTATTCTTCTAATACAGGAGAAGCAGTGGTTTCGCCCGAGGTGTATCTAAATACAGAGGAGTTGCAAGGTAACTAAATTCATTCAACCGCCTGTTCTAAAACTTTTACCATCTGTTGTTCATAGTAATTAGTAATGACCTTTTCTTGAATGAATCATGTAACTTCAGGCATCATCACAATGGTAGATGGGAAGCAAGAATAGGGCGAGTTTTCGGTAACAAATACCTCTACTTAGGTACTTACAGTAAGTACTTTCACCCCATTATTTTCAGCACTGATCGAATCAAGACTGTTAAAATAGGCTACCAACTTGAATCTCGTGTTCTTTTCTGTAGGTACTCAAGAGGAAGCAGCTCGAGCTTATGACATTGCTGCAATTGAATACAGAGGGATTAACGCGGTGACTAATTTTGACTTAAGCACCTATATAAGATGGCTAAAACCAGGAGTCAATACTCAGATGGCATTCCAAGAATTAAGATCAGAAAATCAGGCTATACAAACCAACACTAATGACATGATTAACCCAATAAATGACCCTCAATTCACTTTTGGCTCCAATTATTTTGCCACAACTAGAGAAACTCTGCCCCCTATTCCTCAGAGCCAAGAACCTATTGAGAGAAAAATGCCCTTAAGTCCATGTAACAAGCCGCCTTCGCCTACAGCTCTCAGCCTTCTGCTTCGATCCTCTATGTATCGCGAGCTTGTGGAGAAGAATTCTACCACTAGTGCTAACGAAAAGGACGACCCAAACATGAAGAACAAACAACAAGCCAACACAGAAGATGATTTTGTGTTTTACAGAAGTGATAAGTTGCCTGCACTGGAGTCAATGGACAAGGGTACTACTTCGTCTCATTTGTGTGATAGAGCAGGGCAGTCCTTCTGGGATGTGATGCCTTAAAACCATTTAACAATTGAACAATTTGTAATGAAAAATAACTGAAACTTTGTAGTCATCTAGGAATAGATGAGAAGTAGTTTCTTCCTAGGACTGTACATAATATGAACAGAGAGAATGAAAGTCTCTCTAGTCTCAAAGAAATCAGAGCAATCAAATGCTTTTAGACTTGGAAAGATACATAGTTGCAAATTGGTCTGCATTCAATAATACATTTTGTTTATATGTTAGTTCCTACTGTGTTTTTATGGAAACTTTAATAGCAGAGGAACTATGTTTGCTAGACAATTATCGGACTGTCATTTAAGTTGAATTATTTTGTCATCTCTTTGACTTCATTCCCCAAAAATCACGGGAAAAAAAGAAGGGTGTTGACATAACACAGGTTAGATACTTCCTTTTTTATTCTTTTGTGTAAGGCTGTTGGAATGAGTAACTATTGTGTCAGCACATATGTTTATAGCTGAGATGTTTCATACTGCCCAGCTGATGCCGACAGAAGGAGTTAGGCAGTCTAAGTTAATGAGTATTTCTGCAGGCTCCATAAGTAATATTTATAAACACAGTCATTTTCATCTAATACATTTTTCAACAGTCATAAACTACAAACACAAAATTGAGCTTGTTGTCAATATGTAGTGACTACTTGAAGGCATATCTAGAATTTTCAGATCACTGTCAACACATGAAAGAGAATTTATGTGAAACAAGCTGTTCAAGAGCAAAACTATGAAGTATCATATAATCTAACAGCTAGCAGCAGGCTTAACATGGTTGTATCATGCCTTCTTCTTTTTGGACTGGAGCATCACATATCCAGTAAACATGCTCAGCAAGCAGATGAGTGCCATTCCAACAAATACGGGAATAAGAATTGCATACTCTTGAGGTAGAAAATATTTGTGCACAAAATGATCAGTATCAACCAATGGCTGAAAGACAAAAAGCATATATCAACCCCCCATATGATAACATAGGTCTCACAGGTCACTACATCTTGTAAGACAGAGAGAAAAAGAACTGACCAGAATGATGACCCAGAAGGTATAATATGTGAAAATGGACAAGCTAGTAACTGTCAAAAGCAGTCCAATCGTTCTGTCTGCTAATTCCATAGTGACTCTTTCACTTGTGCAAACTGTAAATGAGGAATGCCATATTAAATTACAAACAAAAATCACTGCCCTTCGGCAGAAGTTTGTGAATGAATCACCAAAGAAATGAAAGCAGGAAAAGCAAACATAGAAAAGGAGAAAGGGAATGCACATTGTGCACTTGAAAGAATGCAACACACATGATCAAAAGCTATGTACCACTCAAGCCAAGACAATGGCATCCATTCTTTCTCAAGAACAGAACTGTAAGCTCAACTCAGTTACTGAATAATTGAATATCTTTCTGATTGAGTTGTTCAGAAGACCAGCAGTGTACAGTTCAAGTATATTTATTTATCTGGTTTTATTGCACAGTCTATGACTTAATTACTCTTGGCATCTATAGAATCATCTACCCATGTATATTCCAACGAAAACTACCAAAATCTCATAGAAATCCTCTGTCCAGGCAACACAAATATTTTAACAGAGAAGAGGAGAGGAATGACATTTTAATAACAATACATTCCCAATAAATACAAATCTGGAAAGAAGCATATCAGCAACCGGAAAAGGGGATAGAATGGAGGAACCCAGCAGATAATTGACCAAGCTACATTTTCTTAGAATGTATGGTCGTCCACCAAAGTGCACAGCTATGTTTTTATAGTGCTTCTGAAGTTAATCCAATGTCAACTAGATTTAAATAAACAACAGGACAGATCACTACCTTCAGATTCTTACAAACCAAAGATTCCCTTTGAATCATCCAACAATGTAGTTCAAACAAATACCTACCGTAGAGAAAATTTTGGAACGTTGGGCACATATAAATCAGAACACACAAAAGAACTAACTAGGATATTATATTAAAGAATCGGTGACCTAAAGCATGATGGTGCTACCTCTTAATATCTGTGAAAATATCAGGTGTTATTTCACTAGTGTATCATGCTAATAGATATGTGGTTTCCTTCTGGCAGCACTTAAATCTTTATCAGTCATCTCCAAAGGCATACAAAGTAGTAGGATATATCCAAGCTGAATACATCTATTTACACATACACCAACAATGTCTATTTTTTCATTTCTGATGCAACTTTAACATAGTCAATGGACTATGCTAAAACACTAACCCAAAATTAAGTGGTATCCTTGCCACAAGAATCTCCAAAACCACCCACAAGCTGCCACTATATTCTACTGAACCTCAGATTTCAAAGAGGCTGCTAGGATCTTCACAGACGCACACATACAGACATACACATAATGGGACATTAATTTGCAAATTCAAACCTCATAACCACATTAACAATGTAGATGTATTGCACGTCAATAACAAAACTAGCTTTTCAAAACCAACATTTGAGTAATTCATTATCTCACTAGTGTTTCCAAAGACTTACAACTCCAGAGGCTAAATTAAAAGAAAAAGCATACACAATCTGATTCCAAACACTTATCATTCCATAAAGGTATAAACGAACTTCGATTCCATAATTTTCCAAGCTAAGTTAAAAAAAAGTTCACAATTAATGGAGAAATTACCTTGAAAAAGAACTTTTCGTGTCGTTAAACACTTCGGTTTTAGAGAATGAAGATCGTTATAATCGATATGTACTTCCATCAGTTCCATTTCACTATAGTTTTCTCTGGAGAGATTCGGAGAGGAGGATCCTGAATAAATGGGCCAAATCAATATTTCCTTTCACATGGACCGAAATGAAATGATCCTAGCCGCGCAGCCCCAACTTATAAGCTACACATTTAGCAATAAGCCCATTCTAGTCAAATAGACGAGCAATCTAGCGGTGTACATGATCGGGTTGGTTAGAGTTTTTCAAATATCAAATCAAATTATTTGTGTTGGATTTTTAAATCTATAAACCAAACCAAACTAATAAAACTCGGGTTTTTTAACCTTGGGTTTTTTCCGGTAAAATATTCATACAAACATATAATTTACTTGTACTTCAAATATTTCTACCAAAATACAACTATCTAAGATGTTTCTTAAGAAAATAACACAAAATATGATATGAGTAATGATACTAAAATATCCAATAAAAAAATAATAATAATGAAATCGCGTAAAACAAATATTGTAAATTAACAAGTCATAATGAAAATAATCATAATTTAAAAGTACTAAATCATGCTAAAATAAGTTTAATAAGTATTAGTTACATGACTAAATATTAAAGTAAAATTAAAATTAGATTATGTATTTGAATTGTTTAAACCAATGTAAAACCAAAGAACAAATATTCAATATTATTGTCATTCTTAGTGTTGAATTGATTTTCTTTTTGCATTAGTATTAATTTGATTTTGATTTAAACTTTATTATAATTACCAACATCTGTGGACTATAATTTTTATTGAACCATTCAGAATTCTAAGTTTCAACTTGAAATAATATATTAAAAGATAAAAATAATGAAAAAGTATAAGAAATATTTAAAAATTATATCAAAGTAAATTTTTTTATGTATAAAATAAAATTTTAAAATTATATATATATAATGTTGGGTTGGTTTGGTCTCGGGTTGGGTTTTTTTAGTTAAAACCAAACCAACCCAAATATAGTCGGGTTTTTTTTTTCAATACCAAACCAAGTCAAACCAACCACTAGTCGGGTTTTTTTTTCTCGATTTGACTTGGTTTGCGGTTTGGTTCGATTTTGTACACCCCTAGAGCAAATCATATAAATTTCATTAGTTTAGGAGATAGTTACATGTTTTTATTCTGTTTGAATTATATGCATTTGGTATGCTCATATTCTAATATCTTGATACATACAGGTCAAATTAGGTGTATCTGTATCCAAGCTTGATTTACATGTGCACTATGGCTGAGTATCGATTGGTTCAGTTTTGAAATTTATCGGTTTGGCTTATTGGTTATCGGTTTGTAGAGATGCTAAACCATTATAGAACCATTAAGATATTGGCTTATCAGTTATTGGTTTATCGATTTTTGATCGTTATCGGTTCGGCTATCGGTTTAACCGTTAAGATTTGACACAAAAAATATATATTAAAATCACTTAGAAACAAGGTGACAAACCAAAAAAACCATGCACTTGAGTTCACAAGTTACATCTTGCTCAAAAACAAACAGTTTTACATTGTCGAATAACCAAGTGTTTGAGACAACCAAAAATAAAAGTAGGAAACCAAACTCTAAGTCAATGACTTTATGTACAAAATGGTATAAATATAATTATTTAATTTACTAACGGGTTATCGGTTAACCCGTTAAGAAAAAACCTCAAACTGTTAAGAACTGATAACCCATTAACAAAAAAAATCAAGACCGTTATCAAAATCGCTAAACCAATAACCCAATAACTTTTATTCGGTTTGGGTTATCAGTTTCGATTTGATTTTGAACAACCCTAACACTAATAACCCTCTCGCTAGTCTCTCTCCCTTTATTTGCTCATCTCTCTTCCTATATATTTGTATTTGAGAATATATTTGGAATGTATTATTTGGTATCCCAAATACATGTATCTTGTGTGACTCTCTTGTATCTAAGATATACTGGTTCTCCTACTCACCTCTCTGCATATATATATATATATATATGTATTTTCATAATGTATCTGATATCAAAGATACATGTATGTATTTGACTTGTCTGAAGAAATGGTGCATTTGATTTGAAACGTGGTACAAAATTATTCATTAGCGAGAAAATATATAATTATTAAGTTTGTATTATGTAAAAGATAATTAATTACATTTGAAGTTCAAAATTAAAATTAATAATTATTTTATTATATATTCTTAAGATTAAATAAACAATTCTTGTAATATTTCTCAATTTTTTAAAATATTAATAAATAAATTCTATTCTGAATTTATTGTTTTTGTTAGTGGGAGTTAAAAATGAAGGAGATATTATTGGTGTACTCTTTTTTGTTTGTGTTCTTCAATTCCTTCCTCCATTTTCGCCCAATTTCTCTAGTTTTGGCGCAATTTTTCCACCCTTTTACTCACCATATAACTATCTAATAAAATACTCTTTCCTCAATTTTCCTTACATCTCCTTGCAAATTCCCCAAACCCCAAATTCTAGGGTTTTCATATTACTTCTCTCTGTAATCCAAACCGTTATCCGGCTTGGTCCCCTCTGATCACATACCTTTAGGTTTGGATTTCTGAAATTTGGGGTGAATTTTGATCAGAATTCGAAGAAACAAAAGAAAGAAATGAGCTTTCAAGATCTAGAATCGGGTCGATCAGTGGGTACCCGTCGGGGCTTTGTGAATGGGAAGCAAGACACTACCCAAGCCGTGGCCTCAGGAATTTTCCAGATCAACACCACCGTCTCCACGTTTCAGAGGCTGGTTAACACCCTAGGTACACCGAAGGACACCCCTGAGCTACGCGAGAAGCTGTGAGTTCTTTCGATATTTTGTTAAATTTTGATATTTTATTCCATTATTTTGATAGTTTAAGAATTCTTTGCAATCTGTACGTGAACAAAACTAGAACTGATGCTTATGCTGTTATTGACGTTCAGCTGGTTCTTGTGGTTTAAAGACGGAGCATAGTCAGGTCTAATGGGAGTTTTTTTATACAAAAGCTTGGCATTAATGTGTTTCAGTTGTGATCGGAATTTTTTGGGATAAAATTAGTCAAAATGATACATTTTTACAGCTACTTTGCTGGTGATGTAGTCTCCATCGGCTAATTTGGGAACTTGCGTGTGTTATAGGATGAGTTTATTTATCAGCTTCAGCAGAGAGGCAGCAGTATGTTCGACAATATATAGTCTAAAATTGCTTACATGCATGCCAAATGGCAGTGTCTTATACGAAAATCTTACAAAGTAATATCTCGTATGCTTGGGAAATAGACATCCCGGAGGGAGATATTTGAAGGAGAAGAGCAACGAACAAACCCGGGAACCATTATATATGAGAATGATGAACTTACTGTAAATAGAAGTGATGGACCACCTATCTTGGGTTTTCATCAAAACAACAATTTGCAACTGCAGGATATACTTTTGATGATGAATGATAAAGCATGTTCCTGGTCTAAGATTCTAAGGAGATAGTATGAAAAGAAGTTTTGAGTTGAAATGCATAGGCCCTATAGAAGTCCACTTGCATATGTAAGTGAAACATAAAAAGCATGAAGGGTTCATGTTGCTCCAAAAGTGGCACATGTGCTTCATTGAAGTAAAGCGTGCAAGTTGAGTAATTAGTTCTAAGCAGCAATAATGAATTTCCCTTGGTAATAATAACAATAATAGTTACATTTGTCTCTACAAAATCCCTTTACCATAATATATTTATGATATTATTTTTTTGATGAAAATGTAGAGAGTTTTATTAGTAAAGTACCAAGAATGAACCAAAAAAAGTACATCAGAAAGAGGAACATCCTTCTAAATATTGAAGGAGTACAAGAGATCTAATAGTGAATCAGAATCAGATACAGGAGCTTTCATACACCATAGATACAGTTTTTTGAACAACTAGATTTAACCTGTTCTATGTTGTCTCTCTTGTCATTAGAACATCTATTGTTCCTCTCCATCCAGGTAAACCAGAAAATGCTAGGAGGGATAGCAATCCAGTAGTGCCTGTTATCCTTCGATGCAAACTGTTCATACCAGCTGCATAGGGAAAGTTTTATGCATCATGGCATGACCCAGTGAACACCAAGTATGGGTAAGAAGCATAGTCCAGACCTGTCTACTAAAAGCACTGTGCTGCTATTTGCCGATATGAATAATTGTCTCATGCTTGCATATGTGTGTGGTGATAGTATCTGTTCTAGCAGTCTCTTTTCAGAATATCATTTAGGTAGTTGGTGAATAGGTGGGATAGCCCTGCGAGGTTTACCTATCAAATGCCTTTAGCTTGAACAGGGTGAATGTAACTTGGACTTTTCCCAGGTTGGATAGAGGACTAAGATATGGATTGGTAACAAAGAAAAAGAAGCAGTGGTGGGTTAATGCAATGTATCGATCTTTGGGGATTTGACATTATATGTTCAATCATATCTTAAGCAGATAATTAATTCTAGTTTTGCTGTCCGATGTTTGTTAACCCAACTTAATGATGCATCAACTATTATAGTGTGTTGATGAACTGAAAAGTGGCAACTTCTAATTCATATTGGGTATCATTAGATTAAAAGAATTTCAAACATGTTTGGTACTTGTGCTGATTTTCTTAACTGCAGGCACAAGACAAGGCTACATATTGGGCAATTAGTGAAAGATACTTCCACAAAACTTAAGCAAGCGAGTGAAACAGATCATCGAGTTGAAGTCAGTGTAAGCTTCAAAAAGTGCTCTCCTCATTTCTTTGTGTTTGTCTTGTGGGACTGCACTTTGATATGTATGTGTGAAACATGTATTCATCTTCTTTCATCATGAATTAACTATATTCTAAACATTCACCACCCTTATGTCTTTCTTGCACTTCTTACATCACAATTCTCGCTTTTGCTTATAACTGTAAATTCGTTCTTGGTTTTCTCAGGCTAGCAAGAAAATTACAGATGCTAAACTTGCTAAAGATTTTCAAGCTGTATTGAAGGAGTTTCAAAAAGCTCAACGGCTTGCAGCTGAGAGGGAAACAGCATATATGCCTTTTGTTCCCCAAGCAGTTCTTCCTTCTAGGTAAGTGAGGGTATACTTCACTGGAATTTAAATGTAGTCAAATTTGAAATGTGAAGAAGTACATCAAAAGCATCTTTTATCTCAATAATCGATCTTGCTATTTTACATTCTCAAATAAAACTGTGTACCTTCATTTTTTTTTGTCACCTCTCATTTCTAGTTCATCCTCTTTTGGTGAACAGTTACACAGATGGTGAGGTAGATGTCAGTTCAGATAAAGGTCAAGAACAGCGAGCTCTCCTTGTGGAATCTAGAAGGTAAAATAGCCTAATAATAGTACTCCTTTATGCGTACTCTTAATCATTATTGTTGTTGTGCTGACTGTTTCATTAATTTCTACAAATTACCAGCAAGACTGTTGTCAATTCTTGATGCACAGGGAAATTTGACCTTTAAATTTGGATTCAAGGTGACTTATGGTCTACTTCAAATTAGATGGAGGACTGGGGATTGGAATTTTTGGTGATTTACATTTGTGCAACATGTAGAGTAGTGTAAATTTTCCGGAAGAGCTGTCAAATATGATTGAATCGAACTGAGATTCTTTTGAAACAATTTTTTTTTTTGAAACAAACTTAACTCTTTTGAAAATGCACTTGGGTTAAAGTTGATGTTAATGTGATGTATTTCAACTATGATACCATAATGTCTTCTTTTATTATAAGTTTTGGCTTGGTGATATTTGGTTTCTGTTTCATCTTCCATGTACCTGTGCTGCAGGCAAGAGGTTTTGCTTTTGGACAATGAGATTTCCTTTAATGAAGCTATTATAGAGGAACGAGAGCAGGGAATACAAGAAGTACAACAACAGATAGGTGAAGTTAATGAGATCTTCAAGGATCTTGCCGTGCTTGTTCATGAGCAAGGAACCATGATTGGTAAATCACTCTCCTTCTTCTTAAAATTCAGGTACCAAGGGGAACACATGTTGATGTTTGCAATTGTTTCTCAGATGATATTGGTTCCAACATAGAGAATTCTCATGCTGCAACTGCACAAGGGAGATCACAACTTGCTAAAGCTGCAAAGACCCAAAGATCAAATTCATCTCTGGTAAACCCGACATGTTTCACACTTCTCATTCCTTACCTTATAAAAAACACCTCTCATCCTTGAGTCAAAATTCTGGATTTGGCATGCTTATATGCTGTACTGTAGCATGAAGCCTGTCTGTTACTCCTTCCTTCCCTTTATTAGAATGACACAATTATTTATTTGGAGCATCAAATAGTTCAGAAGTCTAGTCGACCAAATATAGACCAAAATCTACTGTAATTCTACAGTACGATTTATGTATAAATATGTAGTTTTATTATTTAAAAAGTTAAGAAATATATGTCCAAGTTAACACCAATAGTTAATGTCCGCGCTCATATCTTGAACTCTGACATTCTTTTTAGGACGGAGACAGTAGTATTTTTTGGAGCTTTACCTGATAGGGTTTCATGGACTTTTGAGGAATTCAATTGTGAACCACTGGTGGTTAGATGTAGAAAAGGAATGTAATGTACCGGACCATTTAGACAGTGGTCGACTTAGAAATTTCATCATTATTTTATTATAACAAGTCAAGTAATGTAATTGCTCGAGGTTATTTGATGTATCCGAAAATGGGGAAGAAGGGAATTAGTGGTTAAGTTATGTGTTCCAGAGTTGGGGTAAAGGAGGGAGAGGTGCAGTAATTTGAGAACATTTGAAGTACTATTATGAAATTTTTGATATGCAATCATGCAATAACTCTAATTTACATCATCCTCATATGCGAATTCAAATTGGTGATTCTGCTTCCCACCCACTTTGTGCACATCATATTGTTTTTCCACCTTATTTTCCTTGAACTGAATAATTTTTGTCTGTAGATGATCTCCTGACATATTATACTAATTGCAGACATGCTTACTCCTGGTGATTTTTGGAATCGTGCTCCTTATTGTTATTATAGTACTTGCAGCCTGATTTGAAGATTTTGAGATATAGGATCCTAAACTCTGTTCAGCAGTTGAGAGATCTTTGTGATGCAAGTTGTTTGAAGGCTCAACCTGGCGTAATATTGTGCTGCCTCAAATCTTTGATCATACTAAAAAAAGAAATACTGTCAAATGAACTGTTTGGGGGGAGGGGGAGTGCAGAGTTTGTGTTTAATATTGTAAATTTGGTGTTTGGGTTGCCGCGTATGTTACTGCCTTGTAATGGCACTATTATAGGTTTGTCAATAAAAATGATTATTTGAGGCTCTTCGTTTCTACTTGCCCTCTGGGCATTTCTATTGTTGATGCTGATAAAACAGTGTATGATGTTTTATTCTTTATGATGCTAGTGTGGAGAGCCGATAATTTTTGTCTTGTTTGTTTGCCCGTCTGAATTTTGTGGTAGGTTAGAATTTTTAGTTTTGTTCGAAGTGATCTTCATAAAGTTGCAAACAAAGACTTGAAGCTTTTTATTGTAGCCTAAAAAGCTTTTGAAATATATGTTTGCCTAAGGTTTTTTGTTATTTACGTACAACGAAATACTTAATTGGCTTCTACATCAGCACCCAAATGTAAACAATTCTTTTTATTGTTAGAAACAATGGGAATTCTTGATTACGTAAATGCAGCACAGTTGCTGAGTTAACCAGAATACTAAATAGGTGTTATCTATGCTATGATAAAATGATATGAGAAGGTGCTGATACAATTATTGACAACAATTTGATGGATTATGAAGGACCATTTTCTCAATATAATTCTGTTGTTATACTATAATTCTCAAGTTATAATCTCAGTATAATTAGTTCACAAACCCAAACAACCCTTTAATGGTGTTAAAAATTAAGAGTAAATCTTTCAAATGTAGCAATATTTTCTATATTTGCAGCTTCAAACAGTGCGTATATTATATAAGTTGTCTATTTTGCGGCTCCAAAAGAATTTATTTAAGTTAAAAACAAAAAAATCAAAAAGATGTGAATTTAAGTTTTTTTAAAAAAAGCAAAAAGGTGTGGGGACCCGATATTATTCGGGGGGTTTGAACCCGACGTGAATCGAACACGCAACCTTCTGATCTGGAGTCAGACGCGCTACCATTGCGCCACGGATCCCACGTTGTTGTTCTCTTGTATTATGTTTTTATATTTAAGTTAACTGGAATATAATTTTGCACAAAATTATACAAATGTTTTCTTCACCACATGACAAAAACTAATGTCCACATAATTAATGTAGCTTTATTGCAAATCGCCTCTAAGACTACCTAGTGCATACACATCATTCTTTTCATACCTCACTTATGGGAATGAATATGCTATTAGTGTCGTATAATTAATGTAGCTTTTCGTCAATCAAATAAGAAAAAACTCATTAACGCATTAGTTGACATAACTAAATACCACATTAAGCTAATGCGGAAATTTATATATTATGTAATGTGACAAAATGCCCTTTATGTAAATAATACATTTAAGTAATCATCCGCTTATATTAATTGCTGCATTAGCAATTCTTTCACTTCTTATTCATCACATATAGAATCCTTCATTATAATTCTTTCACTTCTTAAAGCAGACTAATTTTATATTGCAAATCACTTGTTCTAGAATTTGCCATGTCAATTAGACAACTGATTGGATTTTCAACACCAAACTCAGTCATATTAACTCTATAATCATCTAATAAAAGAAAGTTGGTAATTTAATTAAGGTAAATACTTAATTATATATAGGTTACTTCGTTACTAGTTGAAAAATCATAAAACTTCAAACGTATTTTTAATTAATGATATTGGATAGGTCAAAGGGTAATTATGAGTATCATCTAGGTATATTTCTATTTTACTTAACTAATTATCGGGAAATTAGAACAATTAAATGACTCACTATAATTCATAATCAAATGAAAATCAATAATATATATATATTCATTAATTATTAGATGTATCTTATATGTGTCTAATGGTAATTCATCATATTTAGATGAAACATATATGACTTTTGTAACTAATAATTAGATCTATTAGTGGATGTCTCATTATAATTCTTAATTGGATGAAACATTTGTGCAGGTAATTCTATTATAGTTCATGAATAAATGTATCATATATGTGTTACGTTGTAATTTGTAATTGAGTAATATGTATATGTTAGATAGTTGTAGATGTAGCATATGTGTTTAATTGTGATCCATGAAATATATTTTTACTTGGATAGATCAATACGTGGATCGGACTCAATTTGTTATATTAGAGAGATGATGTGTATAATCAATGTCAATGTATATCAAAAATATTATTAGATGAAATATGAAATCAATATAAATGTGTCACATATTTGGATGAATCATACAGTGGATTCATATATTACATTACTAGACAAGTCATTATATATTCATTGCTAAGTGAACTATAAAGTCCCCTAAGTTATTACATTACTGAATGAGTCATTAAATCAAGATTAATCATGGATACATTGATCCAACATGTGTTTGGATTTGTGGAGTTTTAATTTTACGTTAAATTTGCATAAAATTACTATTTTTGTGTTGGTTTAACTCAAGATTTTTTTACTCTTTAGTTTATTCTTTTTTGTACTTTAAGAAATGTGAATTTACTTATTTTATTTAGTGTATGGCTTTGTCGTTTTTTAGGCTTTGGTGCTAAACTTGCATAAAACTGCTATTTGGTATTGGTTCTACCCAACTCCCTCTTCGTCTCTTGTTGACATTGATAAGTCTCACTCTCCCTCACAAGTGAAGAAGAAAGTCTCGAATATATTTTTGACGGGCTATTATTCAGAATGCAAATATTGAGCCTCAATTCAAGAACCTGCTAATTGGGCCAACTGATAAATCTAGATTTTCAAGTGTGAATGGTACAACTTCCGATGTTTATTCCAAATTTAAAACTCACTAGCTAATTATAGATTAGTCAATTATATATATGATAAGTGTAGGCAGGCACTATCAAAATAGAATATCCTTTTACTTGTATAAATACATAATGTATAGTTTAATGCAAATTACTAAGTGTTGTGGCATTTTAATATTATTATATCTTTTAATATTATTATACTTTGCAAATGTCATTTGCTTTCTGCCTAATAACACATTAGTTGCGTTACTACCGTTTGGCAGTTGATGACATTTGATGTCATCTTTATTATCATGTGTCAAACATATAGTGAATGTGTAATGGTATTTGTCCGTTGGATTTCTTGGCAGAATGAGTAGTGGTCAACTATGACCATTACTTCTCCATTATCTCACTCTTTATTCCTCCATTATTCTTTGTAACCTATGTAACATATGTAACCTCAGGTCATTTATCTTCACTATTTACTATACCATTATCTTCCTATTCATTGCTAGGAAGACTTCTTCTAGTATAAATAGTGGTGGTCTTCATTTGGTTTGATACACCCAATACAACAAGAAATATAGAGTGCATAAGGTTTGTCAAAAAGAGAGTTCTTATTAGTTGAAGGGAAGTGTTTCTTTTTGTGGAGCTTTGGACTCAACTCTTGTCCAGAGTTGTTGAGTTATACTTTGTGTTAAGGCTGTTGTATCCTGGAGGGGATAAGTCAAGAAGGACTACTGCTGGACCGGTGAAAACATTTACTGCAGTGGGCTTGAATCTCCTTAAAGAGAGCGAGATATCCGCGCCTCAGCCTAAAGATATTTATTTCTTCATTTGTAGTTTCAATTGTAATCTTGTATTTTTGTTATCTTGTAAGTTTTCACTAACACTAAGAAATACAAAAGAAAAATCTCTCATTTTCCTACATGATATATATTAGGGCAATAAGTGTTCATCTTCATTCTCTTTTCTTCCTTGATTCTTTCTAGTATGCCACGACTATCGATGCTCTTCTTGAACTTGTGGAAGTAAGCCTAAAACTTCTAAGACTCACCAGGACGAGAAACTCATCAATTTTTTTTTATGGGACTCAATGAGTTATACTTAAGGATCAAAAGCAACATACTCATGATGAATTCTCTACCTAGTATGGGGTAGGTCTATATTCTTCGCTCATTCAAGATGAGAAACAGAGATAAATTCATACTCAAAAGGGTCCTTTTATGGTTACTATCAAAAGTTCTTTGGGAAATCAAGAACAACCTATCTTACTTGTAGATTTTTTCCGTCTGAAGAAAGTTTCAAGCACAATTTTGAAAGGGAAATTTTGCACATATTGCAAAATGACTAATTATGTTATTGAAAATTACTACAAGTTGATTGAATTTTCTGCTGATTTCAAGTTTACAAAGGGGAACATGGCAACATCATTTACACCCAGTAATGTTGCTCATGCTCAGCCACATAACATAGATAGTGATTTTAAAATAATTTTAAGGATCAAAAGAAAATAGAGAAAATAATCATTTCATGTCAACATAGTACACACACCTCACTCACTTATTTCATGAGGAATAGCCAACAAAGTGTTCAATCCTTTGCCAACTGTGTTGGTTTAGTGACCCCTTTATTAGACCCTGTTACTTTTTCTCTCTTTTATCATACCGACTCTCATTCTTGGATTTTTGACTTTGGGCTTCTGAAAATATGATTCATGATTCCTCACTTTTAACTCATTTCACTCTCTTACCTTCGATCAAAGTTTGGCCCAATATCTAATCCAAATTGATCCATGAATAATTTTATTAAAATATTTTTAAAAAGGCATTATATTTTATTTGATATGTCACATATAGTCATAATAATAATAAAATAATAATTTTATAAGATACTAAAAAATTATAAAAAAAAAAAACTAATAAAACAACTAAAGCTTAGTAAGAGTTGAGCAAATCGAGTTATGACCTGCATTTTAGCCTGAATAATTTTCAAACAAATTATAAATCCTATTAACTCAATCTATTTGATCTAGCTCAAATACGACCTAACCCGTTCAATTGTCACCTATAGAAAATAGTACAGTACAATTGCCCCCAAGGCAATATAGAAAATAAAATTTGAAATAAGGAAGTAGCCCAAAAGGATTCAAGTGACACTTTTCTTGGAAGAAAGAGGGTTTATTTGAAATAATTGAAAACATTTTGGGTTTTCTTAGCACATTACAATTTTGCCTCTTCAAAACCTCATATCGCCTCCATAGAAAAGCAGCTTGCGTTAAACCCAGACAGCAAGACGAAAAAGAAGAAGAAGAAGAAGAAAGAAGGCTAAAAAGAGACACATAAAGAAAAAATTATGAAGATAGAAGAGGTACAATCAACAATAAAGAATCAGAGAATTGCTACTCATACTCACATTAAAGGCCTTGGTCTTGAGGTAACTTCTTCTTTTACCTCAAACCCCTCTTCGCCTTTGTATACGTTTTTTTTTTATCTTTTAGGAAAAAAATCGGGTTAATTTGGTTTTATTTGGTGTTTTGATTTGTGGGTTTTTGAGTTTTGGTGTTAAAATTTGCATAAAGCTGATATCTTGTGCTGGTTCTACCCAACCCCCTCTTCGCCTCTGTGTATTGTTTTTGACCTTTTAGGAGTTTTTTTGGGTTAGATTGCTGTTATTTGGTGTTTGGTTTTTTTTAGTTTTGATGTTAAATTTGCATAAAGATGATATATTGTTTCTGTAGGAAATTTTTGGACTCTTTAGGGAGTGTAGCACTGAGGGTGTTTAGACTTTGCTTCTATTTTTCACTGAATTTGTTATCTTGTGCTGGTTCTTTAGTTACCAAATACTTTCTTGCATTTGATGTTTAAGTTTTGTGTGTATGTGTACTTTTTTGCTAACAAATGGGTGATTATATGTGACTATTTTGTGTTATATGGTAGCCCAATGGGAGACCACTACCATTGGCAGCTGGGTTTGTAGGTCAGGCAGCAGCAAGAGAAGCTGCGGGGCTTGTGGTGGATATGATACGCGAAAAGAAGATGGCTGGTCGGGCTTTACTGCTAGCTGGTCCACCTGGTACGGGGAAGACAGCTCTTGCTCTTGGTATATCACAAGACCTTGGAAGCAAGGTGCATTCTTTGTACTCTTTGGTTCTGGATTTAATGCTTCTATTTTATCATACTTTTTATGTTTGAGCTTTATTTACCGGTACTGGATTGAAATGGGATCAGATAGAGTGGAATTCATATTTAGGATTCAATGATTCAAATAGCCGATCCCAACTTGTTTAGGGTGATTGATTGAATATTGATAATATGTGAGCTGATTGGGTATTTTTCTTAAAATTTTATTAGGGTTAGCAAATCCAAAATATAGCCTGTGTCATAATTGGTGGCATTGACTTCTATATTGCAGGTTCCATTTTGTCCGATGGTTGGATCCGAAGTGTATTCATCAGAAGTGAAGAAAACTGAGGTCTTAATGGAAAACTTCCGGCGAGCTATTGGTCTCCGTATGAAGGAAAATAAGGAAGTTTATGAAGGAGAGGCAAGTCCATAGTCTTTCTCATTTGTCGTTTCATTTTTGCTGGTCTTTGACACAATAATTCTGCAATGATTATTTTTAATATGTTGTGAAGTGGATCTTCATTTTTTAATTTTTTTCTGATGTAGGTGACTGAACTATCTCCAGAAGAGGGTGAGAGTGTGACAGGTGGATATGGTAAAAGCATTAGCCATGTTATAATTGGGTTAAAAACTGTCAAAGGTACCAAACAGTTGAAGCTTGACCCCACGATATATGATGCCTTAATTAAAGAGAAGGTACGTTCTGCAACATATCTGTCAGTGAAGTATCAAATTTTTTAATACGTTTAATAAACATGATACAACAACATACACAGTGTAATTCCACAAGTGGAGTCTGGGAAGGGTAGTGTGTACGCAGACCTTACCCCTACATTGGGAGGTAGAGAGGTTGTTTCCGAGAGACACTCGGCTCAAGGATATGAAAATATACAATATTTCCCTCTTTCTTAACATCCGACGTGTGACTCTAGATCGACACATATTTATCTTGAGTAAATTCATTAACTTTCATGTCATTCTTCTTAAATCACACTCTAAGTAGTCGGCGAGGAAATTGCATTTAGTCTAATTTACTTTAGTCTCGTTATCGTATATGCTTATTCTGCAAGGGAGCTTATTCTTCTCTGTTGATATCTCCTGCTTCCATTATATATGTGCAGGTAGCTGTTGGTGATGTGATTTATATTGAATCGAACAGTGGAGCAGTTAAAAGAGTGGGCAGGAGTGATGCATTTGCCACAGAATTTGATCTTGAGGCAGAAGAGTATGTTCCACTTCCTAAAGGAGAGGTTCACAAGAAGAAGGAAATAGTCCAGGTTCGTCTCATTTTTTGTTTTGCTATGGCGTGAATAAAGATTACCTTGGAATGTCTACATGTAGCTATTTTTTCGCTCAAATAGTCAATTTGTTCTATGGATTTGCCCTGAAATACTCTTATTTGGGTGCTGTAAAGATCATAGTTCGCCTTTGTGAGCTCACGTGAATGTTTGAAGGGTATAAAATTCTGTATATTATTTGGAGTGGTGAGGAAAGAGATTCCTTAGCTAGATTTTGTGATGACCAGGAATTCAAACTCCCGTAAGGATGTAGCTGGAGTGGAAGTATCATAGTCCATGGCATTAACAACTTATATAATGGTATGTTTAAAGTAGCCAAGTACCTTTTGGCACAAGATTTTTTAGGAGGAAATCAGCTGCCCTCATTGTAATAGTTATTTAGTTTTCATACATCAGATATTCTGTGGATCCATACCTGCCATGATTGCTTGCTTGTGAGATTTTGATCAAACTAATATGCATTTCCAAGTATCTGCATTTTTGTTCTGGACAAATGATATCACTACTTTAATGGACTTCTGTGAGGGAAACCGGTGGCAAGGAACATAAAAACAAAGATTTCTGTACTTAATTGCATGTGGTATTGTTTTCTGCCAGGATGTTACATTGCATGATCTTGATGCTGCAAATGCACGGCCACAAGGAGGACAAGATATATTGTCCCTTATGGGTCAAATGATGAAACCTAGGAAAACCGAGATCACTGACAAGTTGCGGCAAGAGATAAACAAGGTACTTCTGATTTATTGGTTCTAGTATTCCTCTGGATGAATGAGTACAAATTCATGCTGGTTCTAGTGTCTATGAGACTGTGAATTTAGTATTTAGCATAGTGAGTTATATGGTATTATTTCTCTGCAGGTTGTCAACCGTTATGTTGATGAAGGTGTTGCAGAGCTTGTTCCTGGTGTCTTATTTATCGATGAGGTTCGTTCTCATTCAGACAAATCCTGTTTGATAATTCATTTAACACCATCCCCTCCCCTTTGGTAACTAATTGGAGAAAACGTCTTTGGCAGGTTCATATGCTTGATATGGAATGCTTTTCATACTTGAATCGTGCCTTGGAGAGTTCACTGTCTCCAATTGTGATTTTTGCCACTAACAGAGGCATTTGTACTGTCAGGTATGAGTGTTCATGCGAAACCAAGCTTCAAAAGTTCATCAAGTTGGAAAATTTCCATTATATGATTTCTTTACCCTGGGGCTTTTAAAAATTTGCATTTTGGCTGCATTTTTTCATACATTGATCCATTGCAGAATGAAGTGCTTAGAAATACAGGACAAATTGTTACTTCTCTATATCAAAATATTGTTACATGGGCCATGTAGTTGTCAATTTTAAATTGCAAGAACATGAGAAGAATGAATGTTTGAACATAATTACTTGTTAGATTCAGTTGCTAAATACTCCCTCTGTTTCAATTGTTTCTCTTACCTATTTTTTAGTCCGTTTAAAAAAACATGCCTCTTTTCTTTTTTGACAACTCTTTAATTGCAACCTCCCACGTGGCATGTTTAAGACTACAAGATTAAAGGGTCTCTTGGTACATTCTACATATCCGTAATTTAAGACCACAAGATTCAAAAGTTTTTTGTACTTTGTTAAACTCTTCGTTAAGTGAAAGCCAAACAAACAAATTGAAAAGGAGGAAGTACATGTAATTGTCAATTTTAAATTGCAAGAACATGAGAAGAATGAATGTCTGAACATAATTACTTGTTAGATTCAGTTGCTAAATACTCCCTCCGTTTCAATTGTTTCTATTACCTTTTTTTAGTCCGTTTAAAAAACCTTGTCTCTTTTCTTTTTTGACAACTCTTTAATTTCAACCTCTCACGTGGCATGTTTAAGACCACAAGATTAAAGGGTCTCTTGGTACATTCTACATATCTGTAATTTAACACCACAAGATTCAAAAGTTTTCTTTAGTTTCTTAAACTCCTCGTTAAGTGAAAATCAAACAAACAAATTGAAAAGGAGGGAGCAAATGCTTGTCTTTGTAGACACCTTAGATGTATGTGCAGATACATGTGATGTCTGAGATAAATCAGTTGTCACAAACAAAATGTATCTCTTTGCAGAGGAACAGATATGACTAGTCCACATGGTATTCCAGTTGACTTGTTGGATCGATTGGTGATTGTCAGAACTGAAACTTATGGTCCAGCTGAAATGATACAGGTTCGGGCTAGCTTGTTCAACATTTTATTTGTATGACTTATTGATCTCGACCTTAGTCGTTGCATTTTCTTGATGCATGTTTCTTTTGAGTGCTTGGCCAGATATTAGCTATACGTGCACAGGTGGAGGGACTAGAAATAGATGAAGAGAGCCTTGCGTATTTAGGAGAGATTGGACAACAAGCTTCCTTAAGGTTGGGTTTAACTTGTTGGATATATAGCTCCAAAGTCCAAATATCAATTCATTTTAAATTAGAAGTAACGATGTTCAATTCTTCCCTTTGTTAGGCATGCTGTTCAGCTGCTATCCCCAGCTAGCATAGTTGCCAAAATGAATGGCCGCGACAAAATCTGCAAGGTACTTGGCTGATCACATTCTTTATCATTTGCCTTTGTGAAAGCTCCGAACTCTATTTACTTAGCCATTCACTTTTCAGGTGGATCTTGACGAAGTGAGTTCGTTGTACCTGGATGCAAAGTCTTCTGCAAGACTTCTTCAGGAGCAGCAAGATAGATACATCTCATGATAAATTGTACTATAGTATCAATTCTCTAGCTTTATTTTCTAAGGTGCTCATATCCAAATTGCATTTTGCTAGTCAATTTGTTTTATTTCAAGGTTTTGCCGTCTTCTGCAACTGATGCACTGTAGTTCTCTCATGAGATTGCAATATAACAAGGCTTCTGGAATAGGAGACACTCTCCCTTCTATATTTGTATCTCCATAGTAGATCGCTCATCCTGATTCTACTTGAAGAGAGGAGGGACATAAGTTCTACAAAACATGTACGTTGACGTTTGGTTCCTTACTTCAAGTCTAGGTTGAAAGGCATAGTCTCACCTTTTGGTTCAACCCTTGAGCGATACACTGTTTAATGGGTGATGCGTTGAAGGGTTCGAAAAAACCATCGAACGATGCCCTGTTCTTTCTTCTCCTTACGTACTCGAAACCAAACCATGAAAGTGTTTCACACCCAAGAATTAGACTAATGCATAGAGGGTTTAGTAAATACTTACCTTAGTGTGATGCGTTGAAGCTTAAAACTTTGAATGCCTTAGCTGAGTGAGTTGGAAGTATTTTGACCAAATAATTTGAACCTTTAATACGCCACTTAGGACAAGAATATTACGTGAGTACATTCTTCAATGATTAGAAATTTAATTAGTGAAATATGCATATCTTTTGAGATTTTAAATAATTTCTCATCTCTTTCAACAATCAAAAATGCATTATAGTGAGGGGAAAAAAGAAAGTATAGGGGGTTTAGTTACACCATGCCAATAGTTTGGTAATGATGGTACTGTTAGCAAAGGGGAAATTATGATTTCAATTTTGTGGGTTCCCAATTTTACGATGACGATGTTAAGTGATATAATAACTGAGTTCTAAATTTAATATTTACACATATTTCTTTATAAAAATACATTGTGTGAGCAAAATTTATTGGATTCAACTGAGCCCACATGTGTGCTACTAGCTCTGCCCCTAACTATTAGTCTTATTTGGCTACAATATGAGTTCATTTGTGGTTTACAATACGGATTGTTGTGTGGTTCTTCCTATGGAAAAACTTAGCTTGTGGTTTGAAAATGGAGTTACAATATCAGATATCGGAAACTTATAATTGAAAATATTCCTTTTCCATTTTTTAAATGTTTAAATAAATTTTATGAAGCGGTCAAGCATATCTGCTCTCATAGCTCAGTTGGTTAGAGCACCCGTTTAGTAAGCGGGAGGTCTTGAGTTCAACTCTCAATGAAAGCAAATATGCTTTTTTTTACGCCGTTTCTTCTCACGAAGCCACCTTAGGCGAAGGATAATCCGGTGCACACCTCTCGCCAGAATATTATGTGACATACATATGTTAAATATTAACTATTACGAATATGTATCTAATTTTGGACATCATTCATCAATTTCTTGGCTACGCCATTGACAATCTATTCTTCACACAGAACACAAATAATTTCATTTTTATGTTTAGTTTGTTGTTTTTCTCCATTGAACATGTAACTTTGGCAATCAAAGCTATCAGAGTATATGCTCTTTACAAATTCGATCCTGATGTAATATATCACTATGACTTGATATACTTAATTTTGTGATTAGTATTTCATATTGCTTGGGAAGAAAACCTTGATAGTAAATGGTAGTAACAAATACACACACAAAGAGAGGGTACATTATGACATTAATCGTCCTATTGAGGAATTTTCACATTATTTTTTTACGGAAAAAGTGCTCAAATATGTCATCGAACTTTCAAAAGAGGCTCATTTATGCCATTAGTTAAGAGTTTGGTTCATCTATGCCATTGTTGTTAAAGAAAAGGCTCATCCGTGCCATTTTCTTAACTTTGATTTTGCAAAATCACTTTTTACCCCCCAAACAAAGTTTAACATTTTTCAATTGAAATTTTTGGATCAAATGTACTCTTTTGATCCACAAACTCCAATTGAAAAGTGTTAAAAGTTGCTTGGGATGTTAAAATGGTTTTGCAAAACCAGAGTTGAAAAAAATGACATGGGTAAGCCTTTTCTTTAACAACAATTACATAGATGAACCTTTTCTAAAAGTTCAATGACATATTTGAGTCTTTTCTTTTTTTATATATGTCTGCTAATTAAACTCCCACAAAATAACATTGTTTTTTTCATGTATCCGAGGAAGACCACTTTAAAATTCAAACCCTTTGCTTGAGATATTTTACACCGACTTTACAAGCCAATTATGTCACGCCCGACAGGTTAATTATTATTATAGTATATAAAATGACTAGTTTAAACAAAAAAAACCAATAGGGTGTTCTAGATTATGTCAATCTTCGACAAATAATTTGGTCACCATTGACTGGTTAAAATTGTATAAAATGACCAGATTGGTTCAATTATTGCTTGAGGAATCTCAACAACTCTAATTGTCTTGTTGTCCACCTTACAAAAAATATAATTATTTTAAATTATCTGTCAATTTACAAAATCAATGAGATTAATTAAGTTTTCCCATTTTATCCTAATATATATATATATTTTTTTTTTAAAGTGTAAACTCATTTGTATGTGTAAAGAAAAAAGAGAACAACTAATATAGGACGGAGGGACCATTAAGATTTCTTACATCTGTATACCAAAAAAATGATTTTCTTTATTATAAAAAATTTACCATGGTCTTTTCTAAAATTTAATCAGACACAAAGTTTAAGAAAATAAGATTTCCTTAGGTCTTGTGATCTAAACTATATATGTGTATAAGATAACAAAATATTCTTTAGGTTTTATGATTTTAAATGTGTGAGGTTGGATTTTTGAATCAAAGAGTTAATAATTTGTAATAGCTTTTCATCTCCTAAAAATATGAATAAATTCTGGTTTTGATACTCATGACATATGACTTTAACATAATGCACAGGTAGAAAATATGTTACCATTTAGACATAATTTTAGAAGCATATTATCCTAAAAATTAGAGTAATAATACAAACTTAACGTAATGCTGCGCAGGTAATTAAATTAGTGCAACGGTTAATACGTCAAGAAATTTGTGATTGTTCTCACAAACAAAGGTATCAAAAGTGCTCATTTCACATAATTTAATTATACTTAATTAGATATCACATGGATTAAAATAAAAATATATCAATAATTAAGGAACCAAAAATGTTATTAACCGTATAAAAATGACATTCTTTTCTAAAAAAGGACAATAAGAGGTTACAAGACACATTTAAGTTTTAAGATTTACGAACATGAGTTGTGGTGAGATGGTTGGATTCAACCTTAGTTAGAGCTCTAGATGCAATGAGCAAATCCGATTTTAATGGGATCCAATGGAGGTTTGGGAAACCAAAAAGAAAATAGAAATACTATTTAAGAGCTGCCTAAACAGTAAACTATTCATATCTCAGTTCTTAACTCTTGAAACCAAGAAAACTTTTTTTTGTTTCAATGACTACGAATTCATCAGATAACAGTCTACTTCACCTTAATGAAGTGACTGTAGCCATGGTGCCATGGCCTGAACATGGCCATCTCAACTTACTCTTCTATCTCGCTCGAATCATCGCCTCCCACAACATTCCTGTACACTTCCTCTGCCTCACTGCTAGGAACCAAGATTTAAGAAAACGCCTCCAAGGTGGTCTCAAAGCATCTCTTGAAAACCTTGGAGATTCAAACATCCATTTCAATGACCTCTTAGTACATTCATCTCCTACAGAAGCAAAAGATGATTTCTTGGAAAGACTAGGTGAGTCCATTTGCAGGACATGTCATGAATTATCGACCAATACGAAAAGATTGGTCATAATTCATGACTGTTTGATGATAACTTACATAGGTAATCATTTGCATTTGATGTCCAACTTCAAGTGTTATGCTTTCCACCCCACTTCAGCTTTCACCAGGTACTCTACACTTTGACAAACTATTCATATACTTGATGAAGATCACGACGAAATGATTAAGCAACTTGGGGATGAGTTTCCAACTGCAGAGAGTACTTTTGGTCCAAATATGGCTGAGTTTGTTGAGGAGGAACTTATATGGAAGCACAACTCTGGAGATATCATTAACTCCTGCAGAGAATTGGAAGGTAAGTTTATAGATTCACTTGCTAAGGTAAAAGAGAATACACCTTTGTGGGCTTTTGGACCATTTAACATGCTGCCTGAATCACTAGACTCGCTTTCTATTTCTTCATCTAGCAACAAAAGTACTCGTCACAACTGTCTCGAATTTCTTGACAAGCAAGATGTAAACTCAGTAATATTCGTGTCGTTTGGAACAACCACTACATTATCACAAGAGCAAGTGAAGGAGTTAGCACTTGGTTTAGAACAAAGCAACCATAAATTCATATGAGTAATAAGGGAAGCAGACAAAAGGGTAGACATGGAGAATGGTGAAGAAAGACATGAGAAGATTGTGTTGCCAGAAGGGTTTGAAGAAAGAGTGGAAGGAATAGGAATGGTGGTGAGGAGTTGGGCACCGCAGTTGGAAATTTTCGGGCATCCGTCTACAGGCGGTTTTTTGAGCCATTGTGGATGGAATTCTTCAATGGAAAGTATAAGTATGGGAGTTCCAATGGCAGCTATGCCTATGACTGTTGATCAGCCATATCATACTCTGTTGGTATCAAACGTTTGGAAGATTGGAGTCTCTGTGTGGAGTTGGGCACGTCGGAAGGAAATAGTACCAGCAGTGGCTATTGAGAAAGCTGTCAAGACTTTGATGGGGACGCCAGAAGGGGAAGAGATGAGGCAGAGGGTGGTGGAGTTGAGAGATAATATCAAGAAGTCTGTTAACCATGGAGGACTTGCATACAAGGAGATGGGATCTTTCATCTCTTATATTACCAAGAACTGACTTCTACTGCTCAGTTTGTACTATCTTGGATTTGGCTTGTATGAATTTTCATACTTGATGATGTTTTACTTTAGTGTCGGTTTTCGAAATAAGACTTTTGCTTTGTAATCAAATTTTAAGAGCTGAGTTACCCCTTTTTCTAAATCGAAGAAGGGATGAAGTTTCTGTTGACATCTTGCTTTAATGTATACATGTTAGAACTGACAAAGGAAGGATTCCGGGAAGTTGTTAT